TATACAGTGTATAAAAATGCTTCAATAGTTATATAAAAATGAATGCACTGAACGAGAGGCACCAGACACACAAAAAGTATATAGTATATGAAATCATTTATTTAAATTATGAAATGGACAAAACTAATTTAGGGTGTTAGAAGTCAAGATGTGGCAATCATTGAAGGGAGGGGTATGGCTGGTGCGGAGCACAAGGGGACAGTTGCTAGTTACACAGATGAGCTTCATGTATGAAAATTCATTGAGCTACACATGTATGATATGTGCAGGTTTCTGTTTATATACTATACCTCAATAAAAAGTTACATATACATATATATGTATACACATACTGGCTGACAAATGCTTTTTCAATTTGAAAACAGGCATATATGTAAGGCTTTATACCATATATTTTAAAATATCCATCATAAAAAGGTGGCATGAGGATGTTATTATATGTAATGTTCAAATTTCCCACTTTTATGTGAATTTATGTCCAATTTATAGGAAGGACTTCAATGGAAGGGTTTTTTTTTTTTGCAAAAAAAAAGCACTCACTATCTAATGTATCATCCAGCAATATCAAGGTTGCTTAAGAGCATGTGTACCTGACCTATGGGGAGGATTTTGAAGGGATGAGGGAGCTTGGACTCAGGGACACGAAATGGTACTACATCCACAGCAGAACACAAATAAACTTGTGAAGCCATGACAATAAAGGATGGGTGAAGTTCCTTTTTGGTGTCCCTCCACTTACATATCTATTAACATTTTGGTCTCTTCTGGCTCCACTAATGCTGCCATCTTTCAATGACCAGTTCTAATACTTCCTTTCCAATGAAATACTCTCTAATAACATCTAAATGTTTCTTCCTTTAATCTCCTTACTAAATGTAAATGCGATAAAAAATAAAATGTTGAGCAAATGATATAGCTAGTTGTTTTTTATCTGTGGAAAACATAGTTTTGTGGGCAGGAACCACACCTGACTAATTTATCCATCTAACCCCAGAGTAACTGTCATAGTGAATTACACATTGTAGGCTTTCAAGTGTTGGTTAACAATTTAAATATTTCCATTAATAGCTGAACATGAAACGTAAGCTGAATTCCAAATGTAAAATTTCTGAAGTTATCCAGTTGCTAACAATCGTTTTCACATTTAGATTCCAAAGTTATGTGTAATATTAAACAAAAAAATTCTCTGAAATGTATAAATATAAAACAAAAGGAAGGAAACAGATACCACTCAGATAAAAGAGTTAATAAAGCTTTTAAGTGGCATGGCAAAATTAGAGAGTAAATTTATTTATTCATTTATGCATCAAAACTTGATTTTAGGTAAAATCAACAGAAAATCTGTCCTCTAGAAGCCTACGATTTACTTTAGACAAGGGAACTGTGTGATAACATAGACTTGTTATTGTTTAGATGCAATAAACAAGTATATAGATGATAATAAGTAAAATTAGAAGTTCTGAAAAGGATAAATAAATGTGATTTGACATTTTAACAAGACCTGTAATAAGATAATGAAAGAGATGTAAAGCATGGAATATTTGGGGGAGCGGGGGTTGGGTAGAATGGCATGAGGACAAACTTGGATTTGAGAACAGTCGGTGCAATCTAGAAGGCAGTGAGGAAAAGTGACTTCTCTAGAGCAGACAGCAGATTGGCTAGTTCTACAGGAGAAAAAATGAAAATCAAGAGTTGTATCGTTTTTAACTGAAGCTTCAAATTTTTTCACTTAAATTACATGTTAGTATACAGTTTAATTTATGCACTTGTTCAAGGTGTACTCAAAAATCTGCATGAATGACACTTCATGTTTCTCCCTGCCTGTGATATCTGTCTAACGTATGAGGCTGAAGCAAGTTATGAAGCCTTTTTTTAAAAAACAAGGTTATGCAAGGATACAGAAATCATAATAATCTTTTTTTACTTAGTAATAACTCTCCCATAAGACATGCTTAAAAATGTTTAGAACCTGATATAGTATCATTATCATTTTAGAAATTTAAATGAAAGAAAACGTTAATCTAAGATATCTTTTTAAAAAGTTGCTTTCCATCATAAATTCAGTTTAAATGCATTCATCTATTTAAACTGTCCATGTCATAATTAACAACTATTAGCACTATTTAACATGCTGTGGTTGGCTCGACAGTGTAATCAAGTTCATTATAAAGCAGCTTATGTGGCCATGGCTATCCTATCTCTTGAGAGCTTATAAAATGGAACCCAGTTCCTTCTCTCCAAGAGTCAAAAACACATACTTTGTACAAGTGTAAATGTAGTACATGTCATAGTCCAAATGCAAACAAGGAACTTGCTTCCATGAAGAATTAACCATAGTTATTTCAGCTGACAACTCTTACTTGAGAAACCATCAGGAGGCTTACACAAATGATTACTAAGGGTGTTTAAAGCATTTTCACTCTGCAGATTTGTCACTCCATGTACACATCCATATGATTCAGTGTCCCCAGAGTATCCATTATAACTATTTTTTTGCAATATTATAAGATTAAGGGCTTATTTTGGGAGCCATTAATAATATCACTGAAAGGATTAAAATAATTCAATGAAAATCATATAGAGATCAAAAACCTAGTGATGTTAATGCTTCTGCTATATTTTAAATGAAAACCTAATCACAGAAAAGCAGAATCTACTCCTCAACCTCAAATAGGAGGTACTGTTTCTATGGATTTGGGTTTCAGGACATATGGCTAGGTTTCATGCCACTCTCCAAGGTCTCAGGCCCTTCCTCTAAGCCCTCCCTAGAAGAGAAATACTGTTGCTTGTCGGACCTATTTTTAGCACCAACATAGGGAAATTGAGACCTCAAGGGCTGACTTATACAAATCCAGGGGCTGGATATGCTCAGTAGAAAGGGGTTATGTAACCCTAATAGCTGAGCATGCTCAGTAAAGTGATGCTAAAGAGCACAGAATACTCTTGAATATTTCTAGTGCATGTGATAGAATTTGACCAATGAACATGCCCTAAAAGGAGACCAACTGAGCATGTGCAAGACTATGTTACATAACTGGGACTCACCCCTTAGTTGAATATTTATTAGATATCATGAATATGTATTAGATAGTGAAACTGGAGTTCTTGCTCACTTTCCCGGAGCCAACCCTCACTTTACTGGCTGGGGTGTGTATGCTTTCTTTTCCTATCAAACTTACTTTCAGCAAGTGGCTGCTCACTCTCGAGCCAGCCTGCACTCTGTACTAAACTTCATGTATTTCTTATTTTTATATTCAACTTGGTGTGGGCCTTGCTCAGTCTCTGTATTTCTTATCTGTTATATTAAACCTGTTTTCATCTTCTACTGTGACTCTGCTCTTGAATTCTTTCCTGTGGCAGAGTCAAGAACTTGGTAAGAGGATGGGGTGGGCTGAGGCCGGCTATCAGGCCTCCCCAGACCCTTCCTCTGGCATCAAACCCACACCCCAAATAGATTCTAAAGAATCCTATGTTTGGTTGTCTGACTGAAACAATAAAAAATAACAATTGAGTCATAGTGCCCATTCCATACTACCCATAGAAAGCCACTTCTGAAATACCATTACAACATCTATATGGAATAAAACAATTAGAATTCTTTTAGGAATAACATAGTACTTAGGCACAGTTGGAGGTATCTCAAATATATAACAATGAGAGAGACACACAACGACAACAAAATGCAACCAAACTTTTATCAAGTGGAATTCCTCATTTTAAAATATTATTTTTCATTAACACTCGTCTTAGCATCAGCTATTGTTTTGGTAATAGACAAACAACAGTTCTCAAGGTCTGCCTAGAGTCCATTATCCTTCAAGTATACCTCAAATGCTTTGATCATCAAAAACTTGGCATGTTATAATTGGTATTAATAATTTATACAATGGTAATTTATAAAAATAAAATACTGACTCTCTCAATATATTAATCAATCACAAAAATACATTTCAGAATTTTAAGTATCAAGAAAACAAAAGGTTAGAAATAAACAAGGCTTTTTGAAGTACAAGAAAATTAATCCTTGAAACCTATTATTTTTAGACTTTAATTTGTTTAGTTTTACATATGCTATAGTTTTCCATATATTTTAAGAACTCCTTAATTAATAGAAGGAAAAGAAAGGCCTAAATAGAAATGCTTATGAAAAAGCTGGCTTATTTAATTAAGTAAAATAAATTCACTAAACAAATCACTTATTATTTAAATATCTGTGGGTGAGTACTTGAAAGTATGAAGAGTAGTTGAAAGTATGAAGGCTTGTAGTAAATAAATGACTTCACTAATTTCTGAGAAAGCATGATAATAGTGAACAAATATTTAAGAGAAATTTAATATTTAGGTAATTTAGGTATTTTAATTAAGAAATTTTAATATAATTTAAATATTCTATAGAATGGATTTCTATCGAACAGTCTTTTTAGAATCAAAGATATTTTTCTTATCTAGTGATATTACATGACACCTTAACTTATATTATTTTAATATGGCAATTTAGATAGTTTAAATTAAATTAAACTATCTGATTTAATTAACTAATTAATGCACTGACCAGATAGCAAAGGAATATTTTATTCATTGTTTTCCAAGGCCAAATAATCTTTAATCAATACTCTTTTACTGTATTTTAATTAATGATTATAAAACTTACCTATTAACTTAATTTTTATTTCTTTTTTGCTTTACTACACTGTTAAAATACACGATAGCAGTAAAATATTTTTTTCTGTAACTTTTGAAGAAAATTTTGTTTTTAAAATTGTGAAAAATACATTTAGTCTCTCATGCAATAAACCTAGTTCTGGAGAATACTATCAAAATAACAGATTAAACCATGAAACTTTATAAATATCTAATAAATTTTAATACTTTCCAAATGCTATTTGCAATTTCTAACACTGGCATTTTTCTAATATTGGGAATAGCCAAATATTCAAAAAATATTTCAAATTATCCTAAAATATGCAACATAATTTATGGTAATACCGATGCTCAATTTGTCACACAAGCACATACTGAAGGTTTATATTATATGCGCAAAGAAAAGTATTAGAAGTGTCATACCTTTGAGACATAATCTTATAGGCATCTGGCAGATAACAACGGATATTCTCCATCTGAGCAGGGTCAGAGTCACAAATTTTGTCATCAGTCCTCCCATAGTTGGCACTTTCAATCATGATAACGTCTGTTCCTGGACAGCGGAGCTCTATAGGGTAACTCTCACAGGAGAGCTCTCTGCGGACCACGGCCATCGGAATTGGGGCACGGCTGAAAGCTACGGAAAGGAGGAGGGAGAAAAAGAAGTCATAATTATTACATACAAAGGGAAATCACGTGTGTTTGCTTTCTCAGTGTTTAGGGTAAATTAATACCAAGGAATCAAGATTCATACTTTTAAGTAAAATAGAATATTTTTCACCTCGGTAACTTTACAAAGTTTTTTTGGTTTTTGTTTTTGTTTAAATCTAACAATAACAAATATTTCTTAAAAACATTATCTTTCAATTTTTTTTTCTTATCAATGGAAAAAGCACTGTGGTTTTTCTATTAAAGCATGATATGTGAAGTTAAGACTAACTAGAAATATCATCCAGGAAATCATCAACCAATATTTGTACTGCTGTTCATTTTAAATATACTTATTTAAGTAAAGTAATCTATTTTGCTTTGAAAATATAGGTTCATTGTTTTAGGTAATAATTAATATAATCAGTATACTTTATGAGTTAATTATAGAAATAATGAATGCTCATTGTTTTAAGAACTGGAGATTTGTAAGGAGAAAACTGTATTTTCCTTTAGCTCCCTCCCCATATCCTACCCCCACTGTAAAGAGGTAACCAGACCTTCCTATTGCAAGTTTCTACACAAAGGCTGACATTGTGTGTGTCCCCCTACCCCTCTTTTTACTTTATTTAGGTAAATTTTACTCAAGTAGTAAACCACTAACAATAAATATGATACTCAAGTAGTATCATATTTTACATGTTGTTTGATATCTTGTATTATTTTATTAATTTAATAATAAATTATTATATTAATTTAAAATATATATATATATATATTTTTTGTCCTTTTTGAGACCGGCCGCACCGTGCTCAGCCAGTGAGCATTGTGAGTGCACTGGTCATCCCTATATAGGATCCGAACCTGCGGCGGGAGCACTGCTGCGCTCCCAGCGCCGCACTCTCCCGAGTGCGCCACGGGCTCGACCCTATCCAAATATATTTTATGGCATATTTCTAAAAATGAAACTGATGTGTCAAGGGGGAAACACATTTCCAATTCAACATCAATAGATTTTTTAAAAAATTAATAAAAATGTACACTTACACCAACAGTAACTTTGGTGGAAGTTACTGTTCAAAACTAAATATTAATAATTCTTTTAAATTTTGCCAATTTGGGGCCGGCCTGGTGGTGCACTGCTACAGTGCGCCGCTTGGGAGTGCGACGGCGCTCCCGCCGAGGGTTCGGATCCCACATACAGACTGGTTCCCGCTCACTGGCTGAGCGAGGTGTGGACGCCACACCGAGGATTGCGATCCCGTTGCCGGTCCTGGTCCGGTACGGGCGCGACACTGAGGGTTGCGATCCGTTGCCAGACACGAAAAGAGACAAAAAGGAAAAAATAAATAAATAAATAAATAAATTTTGCCAATTTGATAGATGAAGAACGTTATAATATCTTTGTTTTAATGTGCACTACTTTATTTGTACAATGGAATATATTATCATATATTTAGCGACCCTTTGCATTTCTTTTATCTGTGAGTTGTTTGCTCACATTTATGCAAAGTCTGCTGATGTAAAAGATTTTTGTATAGCAAGGACAAAACATTTGTCCTTTATACTTGTGGAAAATAAGTTTTTCTAGTTTGTTGTTTCATTTTAGACATTTGCTGTGCATATTTAATTTTTATACAGAAACGTATCTATCATTTGATGTCAAGTCTAACACTTTCCCATGCCAAGATTGCGAATACAATGAGTATTGGACGAAAGTCAAAAGTTTAACTGTAAAAACTCCACAAGTCTTTAAAAGCACATAGTTGAAATTCTAAATCAAGTGTTACCAACTGTCAAATAACTTGACTTCCACATAAGAGAATCACTTATACAAAAACATATGTGATAGCTTAAATTTTCATTGACATTTGATTAACTCACTAATATGCACATACATAAAAACATGTGTTTAAATAAATGCATACAACTTTTCTTGTGGCTTTTTTACTAAGCATGGAGTATGAAAGAAAAAGAAAGGAGGAGAGAAGCAGGGAATCAAAAAAGGGAGTAAGAAGGGAACAAAGAAATTTTATAACTGTAAATATGTTCACATGAACCTTAGGAGAAAATATTGAGTTGGTTTTTCAAACATACCTATTATTTTAAAATTGAGAGTGACATGAGTTTTTAACTCATTTCTATGATATTTCAGAAAAAGTTTAACTGTACCACAGACCCCATGCATAGCTTCTGAGCAGGTCACTTGGAGTTCGTCAAGCTGCACTGCATGGTTAATTCCATTTTGATTGGCATTCTCTCTTGCACACACATACATGCACACACATTCACAGAAGTATCTAGAATATTAACAGCATTAATCAAAGAGTGTTAACATAATTAAAGGTTGACTGTAACATTATTTTTAAAGTATGTTCTTGAGTCAACATTTTGGCAGGGGATTCTCATAACAGAGAGACACTGAATTTTTGAAACATACATTTCTACTGTTCCTAAAATATCTTTGTCATCAGAAATTGGATGGTTGTTTAAACATGAAGTCCTTTTTAATACTAATATTCTATTTTTATGGATAAATATATTTTCATTAATGCATTTAAATTTTTAAATAATGGAATAATTGAATAATAAATATGTCCCAATTCATGAATACAGTTTCATGATTTTGGTCAGTTTAAATAGAATCATAGAGGTGTTTTTACTTCCATAAAACGTCCTTAAATATCAGAATTTCCAGAAAATTTTACAGTAAAATTTTTCACATTTGTTAGGAGACAAGTTGTTTCTCAACTTTGGTATAACCATTTTTAAAAAATTACATTGAAACTGCTTCCAGACATCAAATTCATCTGGCTATATTATAGTGACTTAACCAGTCAATTAAGTTAAAAAAAAAACAAGTTAATTTAACAAGGAAACAACAAATAAGCAAATCATACTGTCAAAGCATTTGTTTGACTAAATGGACAATTTGGTTGATTAAACTCATCAGTCAATCTTGTCAAAACACTGACATAGCTTTAATCTGGGTCTTCACCGTCAAAAATATGATTTAGAACCAGAAACTAGACAGTTTCAAAGACAACTAAAATGGAGGATTTAATTTTCCATGTTTATCTTTTGGGCCCGTAAAAATGGTCCAAAAGTATGGACATGGCAATTTTTACAGAGAACCAGGGTAGATTTGGGGATACTGTCTTCCATTTAACATATAATTGCATTTGTATCAGTAATCTAGTACAAACTGCACTCTGAAAATGATGGATGCTTTGTTTAAAAGAATGTATTACCAGAAACTGCTCTATAACATTATCTAATTTGCTATTTAAATTACTTTTAATTATACTGCTAAATGTTTTAATCAGCAACCACAGTCCAAAGGGCGGGGGGGGGGAGGGGTTAAGTTAAAAGTAAACCTTTTTACCATTCAGTTATCACACTACCCGTGGGAAGATTCTGGTTACAAGAGAAAAAGGCTTAGATAAGGAAAATGCCAACAATTCAAATTCAAGGTTGCCAGTCAAATATTATACTGAATGTTGTGACAGGGTAATATTGCATTGGGCATTGTAAAGTTGCTTATGGGAAAATAATTTGGGGCAAAGAAGGCATATACATACCTTCTTGAGCTTCCTTCCTTTTTTATCCCATGAGTTAATGTAAAAACAAGGAACACAGTGTCACCCATTAGTTGTGTAATAGATATCTGCTGAATAAATTGGTAAAGCTTTGGATGTGAAATCTGGTAAGCTCTGGTAGGATGGTACACTTTGGAATGACCCAGTGACCGTGGGACTGACTAAAGGAACATGAACTAATCTAAACTTCTCTGCTAAAGACGGCCAGAACCTCAGGAAATCCTTAAATTCCATGTCAAACATACATCTAACAAAAAGTGCTCCTGACCACAGAAAACTGAGGAAAGCAAGAAAAACAAAAATGCTAAATAATAAGAACTCGTTTCACCGGAAATCACTCATTCTTTCCTCCTTAACTAAGGTTTCAGCCACTATTGTTGGGACCCCTTTCTTTTTCTGTTTCCCCTTTCTTTAGGATCTTTTCTCACTGTTAAGCCTGCTGAGTGATGTTTGACTCAATATGCTACAAGTTCTTGGTGAAATGATACATGATGATAACTAAAGATACCCGTATAGGGATGGGAGTCAGGAAGCTAGAAGCTGGTGACCAAACAAGAGTCAGATGATTCCTCCTGGACCCCAAGGTCAGAGATTTGCCAGGATAACTCTAGGGCATTAGAGAGAGGCTTTCAAAGAACAGAGTGCTACTTGAAACACAGGATTACAGGACAAAGAATATCAACAGGAACAAGTAAAATACTAAACACAAGCCTGACTGGTGAGCTCAGTTGGTGAGAGTGCAGTGTTGATAACACCAAGGTCAAGGGTTCAGATCCCTGTACCCTGCACCACCAATAATTATAAGAAAAAAAGCCTCTTTGGAAAATTTTTAAAAAATGAAAATGAAACAGATATGCTTCCTTTTGAGAAAGAAGTTAATTAAAATATTTGTAAATCAAGGCTAATGATTCTAAAAGAGTTTCTTAATTATAGATAAAGACACTTATATATCTGGAAGTGGACATGTTTCTAGTTATTGGCAATGCCTTTGAAAAATACTTCATTACTTAAATGCTGCCAAAAAGCAAGTATTACCAATTTTAAGTTTCAGCAGAGCCTTTGACATAATTTTCTTAAATACATACATTTTCTCTTTGCCATTTTACATGCCAACACATTATCTAAATTTTTTAAAATGTGCTCTGAAAATCTAGTCCAAAATACTTGGCAGTGAAAATAATATAGGAAACCCAATGAATTATCATCCCATCATCCATGGTCTTTAAAAGTACATCTGTTACCAGTAAGTTTCTAATACATTGAGTTTCAAAAACTCTGCTTCAACAAAGAATGTATATAATTTAAATTATATTTTACCATTTAATTAAGTGTAACTTAGCAACGATTAAAACTGACACCCCGAAGAATAACCGAAAGCAATCATGTTCTG